TGTTTGTTTTATTAATTTCAATTGACTATCTGATCTTCCGTTGAGCTGGAAAGTCCCCATATCCAGCAAACGTTGGGATTTATAGAACTCAATCTGGTGTCTTATAGCGACCACATGTTCGCCACTTCCGATGTCTAAATCCATAAATCTTTGTTGGCGTTAGTGTGTTCTGTTAGCATCTTATGCATGGATCAACAAGTCACCCCTACATAAACACTATCACATGAGCACAAAACCTTATAACAACCTGATATGTAGAGAGTGTCGGAAGATTGTATTAAAGAAGGCATGATCGAGGAAAGCGTTATTGTTTCTTTATACCTTGTCTTGACAGTCCATTTCCTTAATAATTCGCCTATCTGTCTTGAAAGCTTGCAGGATGGTAGCATTATGAACCTGACCATAGAGTCGTCTAATTCCTTGTTTTGTTCGAAAAGTGGTTTTCCTTCACCCTATTTCTCAATATTTTAAGATTATTAACAATTAATCGTACTGAATAATTGTTCTTCACCACGCTGTAACATAAACCAGAACTCTTCGAGCATACTCTAGTTTATTTACATAGACAACATTTGTGACCACATCTGTCCCCTTCCTGCATCCCTTTTCACGCTTACATGTATCTAGGGCAAACATACATCAGTCAAAAAAATATGAGAATGCCTCATTAAGATCGCAAAGTTGATATAAGAAGTATGTCAGCTCTCAGCTGGCCAGTTTTATCGGTTTAGGGGTTTTTGGTAATTTTTCGTGCATAATGTTTTATGGTTCTAACGATGTCCGTCACTAGACGGACAAAAGATCAGTACGGAGTCATCAGGGTCGTAAGACGGTGAATCGGGCTCTTCTTTTCACACATCACACTTTACGACAACCCTCCTGCGGTATCCACTGACGCCAATCTACGAATCTCTATGACCCATTATCTTAAACGAAATGAAAGGTACGATATTATTACACATATCTTTCTAGCGTTTTCCAGGGTTTTATTTCTGCAAGGTCTCATATACTGTCCTCAGGATCCCTTTAAATATACTTCCTACCTCTGCTAATGGCTGATTTGTCTATTCTAAGTTTGTTTTTTTGATGCTTTTTGCAGCCTTTACAGCTGCTATTTCCGCTTATGCTTTTAGATGAGCTCTAAAATAAGACATACTAATGTAAGCGTAATATTGAAATATGTGTCTGTATGTGCAAATGAGACAGACTATGAACCCTCTCAACTTGGTATTTTTCTCAATTTTATTTATTTAAACTCTTAGAATGGGTCTACCCATTTCCTCATAATTTTAATCAAGCATTCTCACTTCTTTTTTTCTTTCCTTTTAACTTTTAATTTCTCTAAAATTACACTAACTCGTTTTGCTCTGGGCTAGAAAAATGGATAGGAACTGCATTCTTTCTAGGTCTCATTAGGCAATGAATGACTCACATTGATATGAGTTTGCCTCTTTCATCATTATTTTCGCGTTTGGCTTATCTGTATGTATTTACCTTGGGTTTTTTGACTAAGATGCAAATTTTATAAGATATTATGCTATAAGGTAATATAGTTTTAGCTAAACTTTAGATTATCTGGACTTTGGTTCACATTTACGTTTCAGATAAGTGGCTGTACTTTACTGATTTAATTTTGGCCTTTATCCTATTTTCACAGGAAGTCGAATTGGACGACAGCCAAATGCCGTTAAATTCCACTGTGCTATGGAGATTCGCCAGCTGCAGGCGATGCGCGCCTTTGCGACCACTCCTACGCTTTCTGACCCTGAAAGCTCATCAAGCTGGATGCTTCAACTTGGCAGCGTTAACACCGGAAATTCAAGTGAGGAACATAAGCCTTATATAGCACGCAAATTGGCA